GATAAAAAGAGCACAAGTTCAAAAGGAAATTAAATCAAATCACTACATATTCTATAGCTAGACATATGCGTAAATAAAGTCAAACTCCATGATTTATTGCTATCAAATCTCTGCTAATACGGTAAGTCATTCCATAATTCATGGCTACCACATTTCTACTAACACTAATCAAATAAAATGAATATTTTGCAGTGTCTGTGTGTCCTTCTGTTTAGCGATTTGACACGTTCGACACATGGATACATACCTGTACCTAACACACGTACCCGAGTCTATGTAACATAGATTGTTCCTAATTAATTTATACATGGGTATTTCTTGTTCAATTGTACCTTAGTTTGTTAATCTGTTCTGTTTATATTATGTTTTTGTGTATAATGTGGTAATTTTGTACAATGTATACTGTTGGGTATCTCTTTCGAGGGCAACAAGGAACAGGCTCTGTCGCTTCTTCATGCGACGATGGAGGAGAGAGTAGGGGAGGTGAAGAAGAGGTCCAGAAGGAGGGGGAAAAGGATGAACGTTCGTGGTCTAAATGACCCAGATAAGAGGAAGGTGGTGAAGTTGGCGGTGAGAAAGTGGGGGGCTCATGTGGTGTGTTTACAAGAAACGAAGATTGCCTCTTTGTCGGATAGGGTGGTTAGGAGTCTTTAGGGAGGTAGGTTTGTCGAGTGGGTGGTGTTGGATGCTACAGGATCTTCCGGTGGTATCCTCGTTATGTGGGATAGGAGATTGTTGTCTCGGGTGGACATTTGGAGAGGGAGGTTCTCTATCTCTTGTGTGTTTAATTTGGAGGAAGGTTTTAGATGGGTTTTTTCTGGGGTTTATAGTCTAGTGGATGATGGTGAGAGACATCTCCTGTAGGAGCTCAGTCTTGTATAGGGGATGTGGTCTCTTCGTTGGTGTGTGGGGGGACTTTAATGCGGTCAGGTTTATGACAGAGATCTTCTGGTGGGAGATGGATAGTGGTTATGTCACAGTTCTCAAAGTTTATTGATGAACACCATCTTATTGACTTACCTTTGGAAGGTGCGATCTTCACTTGGTCTAACAGCAGGGATTTGCCCGCTTTTTCCCGGTTGGATAGATATTTTATTTCTGGGGACTGAGAGGAGAAATTTCTAGATGTTATTAAGGCAGCTTTGGCTAGGGTGACTTCAGATCATATTCCGTTGGTCTTGGATTATGGGGGGCTGAGATCTCAAAGAACGCCATTCAGATTCGAGAATTTGTGGCTCAGAGCAGAAAATTTTCAGGGGAGAGTTCGGTCCTGGTTGGTGCTTAGAGATGAATGCTCTTAGAAGAAGTGGTACTTGAGAGATAATTAATTTACCTAAGGAGAAAAGAACAGTAGGCTGCAAGTGGGTCTTTACAGTGAAATGTAAAGTTGATAGTAGCATAAAGAGGTACAAAGCAAGACTAGTAGCAAAAGGGTTCACCCAGACCTATGGAATTGATTATCAGGAAACCTTTGCTCCTGTAGCCAAGATAAACTGAATCAGAATCTTGTTATCTTTGGCTGTGAATTTCAGCTAGCCATTACACCAGTTAGATGTAAAAAATGCCTTTTTAAATGGAGATCTTGAAAAGGAGGTCTTTATGAATTTTGAGGGAAAATTGGGACCTAATAAAGTCTATAGACTGAAAAAATCTTTACATGGTCTTAAACAGTCCCCTAGAGCTTGGTTTGAGAGATTTAAGAGAGCTGTGAAGAGTTGTGGCTACTGTCAGAGCCAAGCTGACCATACCATATTCTACAAACACAGTAGAGAAGGCAAGGTTGCAGTCTTAAATGTCTATGTGGATGATATAGTCTTGATAGGTGATGACAATGAAGAATTGGAGAGACTGAAAAAGAGACTTGCAGCTGACTTCGAGATCAAGGATATGGGTGCATTAAAATAATTTCTTGGAATGGAGTTTGCTAGATCCAAAGAAAGTATATTTGTGAACCAACGTAAATATGTTCTTGATTTACTTGGTGGGACAGGTCCGCTAGGATGTAAACTAGCCGAGACACCCACTAAGCCCAACCTTAAGCTGCAGTCTTCTAAAGCTAAAGAAGTTCTGAATAGAGAGCAGTATCAAAGACTTGTTGGAAGACTGGTCTACTTGTCACATACACGTCCAGATATAGCTTTTACAGTCAACATGGTTAGTCAGTTCATGCATTCACCTAGACGAGAACACTTTGATGCCGTCTACAGAATTCTCAGATACGTAAAGGGGACCCCTGGAAGAGGTCTACTGTTCAAAAACCGTGGGCATTTGCAAGTTGAAGCCTATATTGATGCGGATTGGGCTGGGAGTGCTATTGATAGACGGTCAATTTCTGGCTACTGCTCCTTTGTTGGAGGTAACCTTGTCACCTGGGGGAGTAAAAAATAGAATGTGGTAGCAAGAAGCAGCGCAGAGGCCAAGTTTACATCAGTTGCTCATGGAATTTGTGAGGTGTTGTGGATTAAGAGACTATTGGAAGAATTAAAGGTCTCTAATCCGTTGCCTACGAAATTGTACTGTGACAATAAAGCTGCTATTTCGATCGCTCACAATCCAGTGCTTTATGATAGAACAAAGCACGTGGAGGTAGACAAACACTTCATCAAGGAAAAGCTCGAAAACGGATTGATCGATATGCCATACATTCCTACTACCGAGCAAGTTGCAAATGTGCTTACAAAGGGAATTACTACAAGACAGTTTGACAGACTAATTGGCAAGCTGGCTATGGAGGATATCTTCAAACCAGCTTGAGGGGGAGTGTTGAAAAAGAAAGATTAAGTAGTAATACTACCAAATATTAGGAGTTTTATTAGTTGTAAATATTTGCTGTAAATTAGGAAATTAGTTAGGAAAGCTAGCTATTGTAATTAGTTTCCTGATTTTGTGCTTGTATTCTCTCCTATAAGGAGAACCCTTGTAAACTTGTGAGAAAGGAGAGCTAATAGAGAAAAAGTTCATTCCATATTTTTTCCCTTTCAAGTTCAGAATAATTTCTACTCTAATGCTCGCCATCGAATCTCCATAACCACTTCCCTAAAATAGACCTATTGAAGGGCACCAACCTACTAATCCCCAAACTACCCAACTAAATAGGCCTATAAACCTACTCCCAGTGAACAAGGTGGTAATTGAACTCCTCCCTGAAACCTCCCCAAAGGAAATTCCGCTAAAGCCTCTCAATCCTCCAGCCACTGAGGAAGGGAACTGGAAAAGAGATAGAAAATAAGTAGGATAACTCGACAACGTGCTCTTCATAAGGGTTACCTTCCCACCCTTTGAAAGATATTGCTTCTTCAACTCGGTAAGTCTTCTCTCAACCCCGCCCTCCTCAATGGAGATCCCAAAGGTAATCCCAAATAAGTAATAGGAAAGCTGCTAAGCCAGCACCCAAGAACCATAGCAAGAGAGGCAATACCCTGAACCTCACCCCACCCGAAACCAAAGCACTCTTTGCAACATTCACTTTCAGACCAAAAATTGCCTGAAAGCAAACCAAAACACACCTCAAATATCTCACGTCGGCAACGCAAAAGACCAAAGTATCATCCTCAAACAATAAATAGGAAATCTCCAACTGGTGCGCCACAACTCTACCCACCCTGAAGCCCCTAATGAATCCCAGCTCTACAACCCTCTCATTAGCCTACACAGAGCCTCCATGACAATGATGAACAAGAATGGAGAGAGGGAATCCCCAGCCTTAAGCCACGTGAAGTACTAAAAAAGCCAGTCAGAGATCCATTCACCAGAATCAAAAATCACACAGAAGAGATGCAGGATACAATCCACCTTCTCCATCTCTCCCAGAAACCCATCCTCTCCAGCAAATAGAGCAACAAACTCCAACTAACATGGTCGTAAGCTCTCTCACTGTTATAATAACCCTCCTATTCATAGTATCTATCAATTCTCTCTCCCTCTCTCTCTCTCTCTCTACCAGTAACTATTCCGATCCATGTCAATGTATTAAGCCTAATATCTTTGACTAACATTTTAACAATCACTTGTCCAGAATAGTGCAAGAACCATTGTCCATTATTTTCATCACCACTAGGGCGACAGTCCTTTAAACATGTTCTGAAGCATCCATGAGTTGATCCAAAACACAACCTAATAAAGGATTTACACTAGCTTCCAAGACATTAGGCACAACAAAGGGGGAGTTTTTAAGTTCTCTTTTATTGTTAGAACATTAGAATTGTTAACTAGTGTGACCCCATTAACCGAGGGTGCAAGGATGGAAGGACTGGATACAAATCTAAATTTTGGCAACATTTCCACAACATAGCTAGCTGCTCTAAGAACTGGAACTTGCATTCTTACACTTGATAACCTGATTATCAGTGCACCCTAAGTTACCTGGACTGAGGTACATGTATCGGGTATGGGTACGAGTCTAAATGTCTAACCTCGCTAAATCTCAAATCTTAGGATACGTGAACTTGACTTGAAATGTGTCTAACACCTAGATACAGATATGTGAACATTTCTTACACACTTAAAAACATAATATAATGACATATGATACTATTATTCTTTTAAAACGTGCTCAACAGTAATCAAAATAAAAAGAATATGGTGAAAAAGGAGAGATTTCATCTCAGTCAGACGTAGGTAGTCCTTCTTTGCTATCACATTTGAGCTTTTTCTTTCTTCTTCCATCATCAAAAGATAATCTATGTGTCTGATTCGGGAACATATGCCCGACACAAATCCTATACCCATATCCATGTTGTGTTGAGACATGGGTACGTTAAGGCTAATGGGAAGTCCAGGTGACACAGAGTGGACCAGAAATGGCCCCTTCTTGTCTTTTTGTAACATGAATTAACTATATTTGAAATGTGAAAAGCTGCATGATAAACCAGTTATATGTTTAAACTGCAGGCGGAGGATGACTTTTGATAATAGACAGTCCAAAATTAAAATTGAAGGCCACTTTAGCCAGTAAAGATAAGAGGATAATTTACAATAAAGAAGAACTCCAAAATATTCACCTTCAATTTGCAAGAACTGCTACACCCAGAAGTATCGTCACCTGAACCTAGATTATCGGGCATATCCACCTATAGAAGAGTGGGAAAAGAAATTGAGTGCATAGAGCAAATTAGATATTCTGCAAGAATATTTATTTCATAAAGTTAGAAATGGAATAGCAGATATTGTGTAGAAATCACATCAGTTACCCGAATAATTTTATCAACAATATATTGTGTAATCTCTCCATCTTGGAATTCAAAAGTTGAAACAAAATGTTGCGCCATACAGCCCAAGGACTGCAATACGGTTGGAATATTCTGCCCACTGTGCAGATAATCTACAAGTGTCTATATAGATAAAAATAAGATACATAAGCCTGATTATAATCAGCAACAAGGGTTTTATAGACAGACACCAGGAATGAGCAAAATCAACAAGAACAAACCGATATACGAAACACATGTATAATTAAGGAGCTATTGCAGTTCTCCCGAATGATTCTGACTGAAATGGCAAAAGCAGAAGTATCAAAGAAAAACACTTACCACTACATTTGAATGGAATCTCACATCATTAAATGTCCTAAACCTTCAAATTTAAAAAAGGAATCACAAATATTTTCTTGATTTGCCTCATGTCTCATCAACTTTGGAGTGTCAAATGATTCCATTCTTTGTTCAAACTTTTCCAGTACCGTTGTGTGGAAATGTTCCATTGATACTTCATTTTTGTTGTATAAGTTTCAGCTTCATTCTTTCAACTTAATTAGTTAGTTACTGCACTGTATCTCACTATTGTTTTTGCTAAGCATTCTGTTGGAATATGTGGTAATATTCTTGTAATAAGTATTAGCATTGGGATTGACAAGAATATTTAGTAAGCATAATCAGTGGGATTGCCCAGAATATTTACTAAGCATAATCAGTGGGATTGCCCAGAATATTTACTAAGCAGAATCAGTGGGATTTGACCACAATTATTGTAACTCAAATCCCACAATTATTGTAATTACATTTCCTGAAGAATATAAATATATGGGTGTAGAAATGTCAGAATTAACTTTCTACAACCCTTTCTTACATTCTACTTTATCTTCTTCTCTCTCTCTTATCTTTCCTCTCCAAACCCTAATCATCCAAAACCCTATTATTCAACTTGGTATCAAAGCCAGGTTAAGTTATGTGCTCATCTATCTCTTCTCAACTTAAAGAAGGCCTAGAAGTGTGTTGACGTCAGCATCAGCATCAGCATGTTAAGGCTCAAAAGTCTTCATCCTGAATCGCCTCTCTGGAACGTCACAGTATTTTTTCCTGATTTTGAAGTCGTCATCTAAAAAAAAAAAAAAACAGGAGAGGTTGTTTGTTGTGATCTCGTTGATGGAGCCTTTTCTATTGGATTTTCTGCTTCCATCTAACACAGAAGGGTGCGACTAGGCAGTGTTGATGATTTTCTTAAATTTTGGTTACATGATTCGAAGCATTCAACTCAGGTCTGATAATTATATAATTGTTCTGCTTATTTCTAGTTGAGTTCATGTTTAAATTCCTTGTTTGTTCTTTGGCTATTGTATCTATTCTTGACATAAGATCTACAAGTACAAAAAAAGGTGCATTAGGCCGTGTCTTGGCCATTGTTGACAATCCATCTCTTTAGATTAGTCCTGTGAAATTGGACAGGACCAATTACTTAGCATGGTCTCGATCATGCCTTTTGTCAATTCAAGCACGTGGCCTGAGTGGTTATTTGATTGGAGAGCGCAAGAAGCCAGAGTCAACCAATACCTCTTATGATCGATGGGCGTGGTGATGTCTTGGTTGCTACACTCCATGAAACCACGTATCGGTCGTGGATACCTTCTTCTTGATTCAGCCCATAGCATTTGGGCGGTTGTATCTCAAACTTACTCTCAGTTGGGGAATGATGCACAAGTCTATGAATTACGGAAAAAGGTGCACGAAACCAAAGAGTGAGATATGTCAATTTCACAATACTATGATGACCTTAATAGTCTGTGGCAAGAGTTCGATATTATCAGAACATTCAAGCAGAATGTGCTAGTGATAGTGCCAAATTTCAAAAACTTTTGGATAAAGAGCGTGTGAATGATTTTTTTTCCGGGCTTAACATGGAGTATAACCAGATTTGTATTCAGGTGCTTGGTAGGGATCCCTTCCCATCTTTGACGCAAGCTTATGCATATGACGAGCAGGGCGAGAGTCGTAGGAGTGTCATGATTCACAGTATACTCAAGATCGTTCTGCTTTAGCTTCTATCCCTCACAGAGACCAGCGGTCGTGACAGCCTGGTGTTGATGGCAAGAGTGGGGGTTCTGAGAAGGACCTACTGAAGTGTGACTTTTGTGGTAAGACAAGACACACTCTGGATCATTGTTGGAAACTTCTTGGACGTCCCACTAGAGGTCGAGGTAGAGGACGGTCTGGCTCAGCAAAGTCACGTGCTCATTTGTAAGAGGTCTCAGAGACAATGTCTAAGCCAAACAGTGGGAACTCTGCCACTCTCACTACAAATGAATTGCAGATACTTTGAGGGTTGATGGCTCGCTTCAGTACTTCATCTGCCTCAACTTCTGCTACAGTCTCATCTTCTTCTAACTTTGCTCACACAGGTATATGTATATCTGCAAGTGTTTTTAGTGTCTTTCCACCCTCTCAACCATGCACCATTGAATCTGGAGCCTCTGATCAACAGGTTCTTCCAATCTTTTCTCCTCTTATTCAATTTGTTCCAGTAGGGATAAGGTTAGAGTTGCAAATGGCCCCCTGTCATCTATTTCCGGAAAGGGGCTTATCCAATGTTCCCCGTCCATGTCACTTTCTTCAGTATTACATGTTCCAACTTTTCCTAACAATTTGCTGTCTGTGTGACCTTTTTTCCTACACATTGTGTGTTTCAGAAATTGGGGACGGGGAGAATGATTGGCAATGGTAAGGCACATAGTGGTCTATATCTGCTTGAGCCTTTTTCTGGTGATAACCCTTTTTCTCGTTCGGCTCTTCATGCTGATAATTCTCATACACATCAGCAGATACATCAGTGGCATAGACGTTTGGGTCATCCTTCTATTGGTGTATTAGAAAAACTTTTCCTGATTTGGTTAAGCAGTGTAATAAAGAGAGTTTTATTTGTGATGCTTGTGAGTTTGCAAAACATCAAAGGAATACTTATCCTATTAGTAATAATAGAAGCACTGCTCCTTTTATGATTGTTCATTCTGATGTATGAGGACCGTCCAGGGTTGTTTCGCTTTCTCACTATCGATGGTTTGTTACTTTTATTGACTGTTTTTTCTACAGTTACCTGGGTATACTTATTACGTCATAAAAGTGATGTGGTTACATGTTTTCAAACATTTCACAAGATGATATGTACTCAGTTTCATTGCTAAAATTAAGATTCTTAGAACTGACAATGGGACGGAGTATACTGAAGGTTCCTTTCAAACATATCTAGCTGACCATGGAATTGTTCATCAAACTAGTTGTGTTAATACTCCAGCACAGAACGGCATGGCCAAACGGAAGAATCACCATCTTCTTGAAGTAGCTAGCTCTTTACTATTCAGTATGGGTATTCCTATAACCTTCTCGGGTGATGTCGTTCTCACTGCCACATACCTCATTAATCGGATGCCTTTGAGAACTCTTGACTTTATGGTTCCTATTGAGTAGCTTCAAGGTCATGGAAACATCCATTTCATTCCTCCACGAGTTTTTGGAAGTGTGTGTTTTGTTCATGATCACCAACATTCCAAAGGGAAACTTGATCCCAAGGCACTAAAATGTGTGTTTATTGGACACTCGGCAACACAAAAGGGATACAAGTGCTACCATCGTCCTTCTAGAAAAACTTTTGTTAGCTTGGACGTCACTTTTCATGAGTCTAAGCCCTATTTTCTTCCTTCAAAACTGTGATATTGTGGCCCGAATTTGGTGACGGCGCACTGCAACCTGCTTTCGACCCTTTTTTTATTTTTGATAAATAAAAATATATTAATAAAGGCGCTCAGAGGGGAGTGAACCCTTAACAAAGCAAACAAAATACGCAAAATGCGCCATTACAACGATATGTTGTCAACAAAATCCAAAAAGCTATCCATAGATGGGCTATTTTTCCGATTAACCCAAGAATAAAGAGAATGCAAAATATTCGACTTAATAACCCACACCGGCGACTCCTTTCCTTCGAAAGATCTCCTATTCCACTCGTGCCACAGCCCCCACCAAATACAAAGAGGTGCAACCCTCCACGCTTTTCTAACCCAACTGCCCATTGGTCTCCCTCTCCAAGCCTCTAACATATCCATCGTGTTCCTTGACACCACCCAGTCTACCCCAAAAACATTCAAGACCATACTCCAAACATCTGTTGCCACTTTACAGTGCAACAAGAGATGGTTAATTGATTCGCCCATCTTCTTACACATGCAACACCAATTAACTGCTTTCAACCCAATGAATGAGCTTTGTGTGGGCCCAAGCCCACCAAAGCTCTGGGGGTTTGGGGGCTTGGCCCTGAGGAAATTTTTTGACCCATTTTTGCTCATGGGTCGTGGACCCTAATTAGTACTCTTGTAGCCCAATATATAAAGGACATTTAGGGTTTAGAGTGGGTTGTGAGAGAGAGAATGAAATTCGTATAGAATAGATAGTGAGGGGTTGAAACTTCTAATCTCCGATTTTACACATAGTGAAGACTTTCACCGGATCTCCACCGTGGACGTAGGCTTTGCCGAACCACATATAAATCTTTGTGTTTTTTGTCTGGTGTTTTATTTTTCTGTCGTGTTTCATAATTGTTTTTTGGTTCACTGCGTTTGTCATAACAAAAACCATCTCTTCAGGGGGAGAATGTGGAGGAAGAGAAGTTTTTTCATTCTAAAGCTTATATTCCTATTCCTGTTGATTTGATTACGTTTCCATTTATGCAATACTCACCATGTAATATATATAGGAGTACGACTAATAATATCAGTAGCTAATTACAGCCTTTCACATTCAACTTGGTATTAAAGACAAGTTCACAACCCACCCTACTACAGCTTCATCTCTGCTTCACCTTCTTTTGGTTCCACGGGAAAAAAAAATTCCACGGAATCAAAAAAATTGAAAAATTGGATCTATGTCCAACGGATCTCTTTCTGTCTCCATTAAGTTTCAGTCACCAACAACAAGACTTCACCCAACCACACCAAACCCCTTCGGGGGTATTACTGTTTCCTTCCATCACTTCCTGCGATGGCGTGCCTCTCTCTAAAGCAATGACCGACTCGGTCGTTATGTGTTGTTGACGAATTGTCCGGCTTGTTTTCGTGTTGTGTTGCTTCCGC